TCTTTGCCATCTTGTGATTGATGCAAAAGATAAATGTAGTACCATATACAAAGAAAGAGATTCTTGCTGAATTGTGTGAATTGTGATGCTTGCATTTGTCAAGAACCCTTGATTAACAAGGCCCTTGCACCTGTGGAGGCAATGACGGGGCCAGCAGTATCCGATTAATGTTTGCAGAATTGTGAAAGACACCACTTGTGTGGTGTATGTAATCTTGTTTGTGTGGCGAAGCTTGTGCATAGAATGTTGGTCCCCGCTGTGGCAGCACAGCGCCAGAGGCGTCACATTTGAAGGCCCTCCTCCTGCAGGACAGCTGCTGTTCGCTCAGTTCTTCACCACTGCATGCTGCCACAATTCGATGCAGCACTTTCAGCGCAGCATTGATTTGTGTATTTCCATACATTTGCAAATATATTTATTTGTGTATTTACATACATGTGCAGATATATTCATTTGTGTATTGAGGCTGGCCATTTACTGCTACCTGCCCTCTTGCTCAAACTGCAGCTGACAACAGTGACGAGCCTGTGCAAGCTGGCACCACAGCAACGTGCTGCACCATCGAAGGGCTCGAAGACCAGTGCCGGGGAATCTTGTCACTCGTGCAGCAGCATCCAGCCCTCCTTCCACACGCCTCTGCCGCCCTGCAGAGTTTGCATGGCCACTTGGAGAGACTGGTGGTAAGCGGGGAGGTCTTTTTCACTGCCACGGTGCCCGTGGTCGAGGGCAACGATGACCTGGGGTTCACCTTGAAGAGGTTGTGCCCTTTCATGGACGAGCCGCTGTTGGAGGACAGAAGACAGAAGGAACGGACGAACCTGGAGTTTTGGGCGTGAGACATGCAGGAACTTGCCGACACTGATGTGGCAATGGTATCCAGCAGCTTGAGGTGGGACAGAAATGTGCGTATGGCCGCCTGTGGTGTGCCCAACGTTGGTGTGCTGAAATGTGCGGGGCCTCAACAGAAGCTGATGGAAGTGGCAGACTGGGTGCACTGCAGCATCTGCAGGGCCCCAATGCAGTCTAAACTGATACTGGCAGTGTTATGAAAACTGCTGTCTGAAAATTGAGGAACCGGCAAGGCCAAGTCTCAGCAAGGCTCAATATGGACGTGGTGAGTGGATGGCAGTGAATGCACCTGGAAGAGAGCTTTGCATTCCTGAGCGCGAGGAGCGGCGTGTGGAGGTGCACACATGGATTGGTGAGTGCAGGATGGGCATTTTGTGTGCTGTCTTGAGCCAGAATTGATGCTTGGCTGCAAGAAATACCCCCTTTGTTGTGCACTGCCCATATAGTGCGGCAGAGTGTGAATGCGTTGGTTTGTGTTTTGTGCCTTAGTGCACCACTAGTTTAGAAGGAATGGTTGAGTTGGCTTCAGTTGGTGGCACTGACGAATATGTGTCGTAGAATATAGTACTGGAGAAGGAATGGGTCTGAACGCAGCGCTTAGGTGATTGCAAAAGAATGCTTTGTGTCCTCCATAGATGAACAACTGACGCTTTGTCCTCTCAGAGAAAATGTCATGACTGGAGAATCTGCAGCAGGAACTTGATGCTATTTAGGTTTTGCAACTGCGATTGAATTTCATGTCTCTCGTGCCACGAGAGTTACATGAATTGGTCTGGTTTACATGGTTGACAACTCTGTTCACTGAGCACAAGAACATCGTAGAACGAACTGTGTGACATGACCAAAATTTTCGCTGGCGTTCGTCGTGGCAACCTCTCAAGGCAGCCCCTTTGCACCTTGGCAGGCGATGCCAGGCATGTGCTTGTACATCCAGATTGTCTGTTTCCCGATATTTTGTCATGCACAAACCAGCTCTTCGCCTGTTTCAGTCAGTTAACGGGAAGCACTCAACAACCATGAGCCTTCTTAATGCCTTGTTGTCTTCACCCCAGGATGCAACGCTGCAACAACACATCCCTGGTCGGGTGCTGCTGGTGATGCAGCGCCGTGCATCGAGACCGGTCCACCCTGCTGTTCCCTTGCTCATGGGGTTCGTGTCCCTCCCTGACCGCATTCTTCTGGAGACACAGCAAGTGTATGCACTTGCCATATCTGCGGGAAAGTGCCCTTCCATGTGTAAAAACGCGCAAAGCCGTAACACTGCTATGTATTTGCCGTGGCTGCAGGAAACGTTTATTGTGAAGGGACAGCCCGTGACCATGGGATCAACAGGGTAGCCCGGCTTCAACCGACGCCACCCAGCCTCACGACCACCCCCCCTTTTGTGCCCTTCAGTGTTAGTGTGTCTTAGCATCCCATTCCCGTCATCAACAGAAATGAGGCCTGTCTCACGCTGGGGCAGAGCCCTCGCGTTTGAGAATGACCCATACCCGCCACGGGCCCACTGCACTACAGTTGTCTTCTGCTTCCCCCGCCATTGAGTGGCACCACATACCCCCTGCTCCTTCACCGCAAGACCGGATCAGACGCATGAGCGCCTCCCTGCACACCACATAACGGAGCCCGGCGCCTGCCCACTCAAATGACTGCCAGCCGGCACCCCCTGTCTCCCGCCTTACTACCCACATTCGCCACGGTCTGCAGCGGGCCGCTCACCTTTTGCGCTCAGATGACCGCCCCCGATTGTCTCCCTCCTTACTACCCACATGCGCCACACCATGAAGCAGGCTTCGCGCAAACGCAGATGACGGGCGCCTCGTTGGCTCCCTCCTGCCCCAGTCGGCCCCGATCATCCCCATCCGTGTGCCTACATAGCCTCAAGCGCTACCCCGCGGCCCAATCCTCACTCCCCTTACCAATCCTCAAGATCCCCATCCAACGGCTGAGAAGCCCGTAAAGACGCTGATGCACATGACGCCGAGGTGCGGCTTGACGCGACAAGGGGGCGTTGAATAGCGCGTTCTGGCCTCCCGACCCGATGACGCACCTTCCCCCACGCGCAGCCAACCGCCTATCGACACACACGCACACTCTCGACGCGGCCGGCCGCGCCGCCCGCGCTTACCCCACCCCCCCACCCCGTAGAAGGCCCGAGCGCCCGTGCGCTCGCCTCTTTGGGGTTTCCGGTCCGTCGTCTGCCGATCGGCGTTTTGGACTGAGGATTTTGGGCGGCCACGGCTGCTCGGCCTCGGCACGTCCCGCGGGAGATGGACGTGCCGCCCCCGCGCCCGCCCGGCAGCTCCGCCGGTAAGGCCGGCCCCCAAAATTGAAAAGCGGCGGGATCCGCGTCGATGGGCTGGAGATTTGCGTAGTGAAAACTGGTTTTGGAATCGGGGGTCGCATGCCGGTGGCCTGATGGCTCGAGGTGGCTGGGAGGGGAAAAGCCAGGACGGGGGAGGAAGGAGGGGGACGATTATTTCATGTGGCGGGAATGGGAGGAGAAGTCGAGTGCGGGAAGATTTGGTGCTGGACTGTGACGCCCAGGCGCACAGGGAAATCGCGGGGGCGCGGCATTACGTGGCGGGCGGCCGGTTGACGGGCGCCCCCCAAGGACTGAGGCCGGGAGCAAGGCGAGCCGCATGGCAGGAAGGGGGGAAATAGATGCGCGACGCGCGATGCGCAGGTCCCTCGGAGTCTCCGTGGCTGTGGCGGCGATGTTTGCGTGCGCTGGTGCCCTCCCCCTCTCCCCTCCCTCCCCCCCCTCCCCCCCCCCCGCCCCCGAAGGGTTGCGCTGGATTTGGCGTGTGCCAGGCTGTTTCTGCGCTCGATTTGGTATGTGCCACACTTGGCGCCCAATTTGGCCTGCGCCAGGCCTTTTTTTTCCCGCTGCTTGGTTTGATTGGTCGGTCTTTGTGGGTGTGCGCGGGCTGCCCAGGTGGACACATTTTGGCCTGCGCCACGCTTTTCCCCCCGCCGTTTGGTTTGAATGATCGGCACTATGGGTGTGTGCGGGCTGGCCAGGTCCGCTCATTTTGGCCTGCGCCACGCTTTTTCGCCCTGTTTGGTTTGAGTGAGCGGTCCCTGTGGTATTTGTGGGTTGCCTAGGTGCCGTTCCCAGGCTGTCCCCCGACGTGCAGAGCCTGGCGTCCGGCCTGACTGCCGTCGGGGTGGCGCTGCCCGAGCCGCGGAGCGGAGAGAAGAAGGCTAGGACGGTCCCCGCGGGCGCGGTGGCCGGTGGGTGCCCCGCGGCGATGGCGCTCGAGACAAAGACCATGACCACTTGTCTGCTTTCCTCGTCGTAATGGTGCTCAAGGACCTTTGCCCGCAGTGGGCGGGTTGCACTGAGGGATTCGCATCGCTGGAGCGTTTGTTTTCCGTTGCTGTTGGCACGATGTGATGCAGCGTGCTCTGGGAAACGCCAACAGGGTGTCCACACGGCGTGTGCCCTTATGACGTGCCCTGGGGTTGCACATGGGAAGGGAAATTTCGCCCTTTATGTGGTCTCTGGTTTGTGGGGCCCACAGTCGATCGCCAGTGCCTGGATGTGTTGTGTGGTGTGCACATGGCAACCCTTGCTAAGGGTGTTCTGTTGCAATGGGCACCTTGTCAGTTCGGGAAATTGCCCTGTTCTGTTGCCCTGCATTGCAAGACACCGCAAATTGGGGACCCAGCCAGGGAGTGCAATGTACCAGAGAAGGCACAGTGGCAATGCGCTTGTGAGAGACGTTGATGTTCGTCAGCATGCATGGAGTGTCACCGCTGGGAAAATGTTGTGCCTTTGCCGTACTTGTAGATCTCCACATAGGTCGGCAAACTAGACGCCCATCCCCTGAGTGGACCCACGTCCTAAAGTTTTGCACCTGAAGCCCTTTCTGTGTGCATGCTTGTGCGCAAAAAAGCAGGTGCCAATGTGGTCCCGTTGGTGATGGACGACCAGAATAGGCTCTACAGTGCCAGCATATTGACATCTCCTGGCGACCTGGTGCGAGCATTCCAACAAAGCCCTGAGCATGGTGGGTTGCTATTGCTGACAAGTTGCTCGTGTAGCACTGTGGTTCTGGCATATGTAGTGGGGCAGACGCCTGTCAGCTGCCATCCCTTTCGCCGGGAATTTGGCTCCCTGTTGTTGCTGTAGGCTCATTGGTCGTCTGGGTATAGAATACACTGAGCAGTGAACAGCTCTCAGCTTCTGGAAACTGCAACGATTTCAGCAAAATGACAGCAGCACTAGTTTGATGCTGATGGTTTTCAGTCCTGTCTTTATTTCTGCGGAATATTGGATCAGCATTTCAGGCCATTGTCCCATCCTTCATTGACTGGCAGAATGGCACTGCACATCGAGGGTGAGACCCCTGCAAGTGTCGCTGCCTTGTGCTGGGGAATGTCCTTGTAAAGTAAAGTGGAAAACGCCACACAGTGGTGAGCCCTCACAGAGAAGAAGCTGTGTGATGCTCCTGCACATGTGCTGCATTGCACCCAAGGACTGAAGTACTGCAGTGGAGCTGCTAAACTAGTGCTAATGCTGGAGTAGGAGGCCCCATTGAAGTCCCAATATTGCCAGAGAAGGGACAGCATAGTTGAGAAGTAAGGACATAGCTGCAGTCAGTGCATAGCCATGGTACAAAGACACACTGACTATGCAGAACTCTCCAAACACTACAGAAGTATCAACAAAGAAATGTCTGAAAGTAGAGTGGAAGAGTTTAGTCAGGAAAATGTTCGCATTGAAATAGGAGGAGCATAACGCAAAAACCTGGCGCTGGCCCTGAGCTTGCTCTGGAGACGCAGGACACCACAAGTGACCACAAGTGACAGAGAGGCTGCATGTGCCGAAACACATGGCATTGAATAATGTTGAAGAGGGAGTGCCGTACCACTGACTAACGTCCAGTCAGTTCTGTAGCTTATTTTTGCTGAAATCCTAATCGCTCTTGCAGTGTGTACTGAAACACATTGTGTTTCATATTGTTGGACAGGAAGTGCCATACCACTGTCAAATGTGCACCATCCAGCCGGTTGTGCAGCCAATTTATTGCCGAAATCATAGTCTGTCTTGCAATTTGTATACCCTAGACCCAGAAACACAAACTGCTGACTTGTTGCTTGAACATGCTGCCATTTTAATGTGCTCTGCATGAAAGAGCTCTGCCCGCAATCCCCTGACACAATCTCCCTGCCCTGCCAACCAGCGAAGCAAATGAATCCCACGCTGTTTTCACCATTTTGATGCACCTTTTCAGAAAGTCTGTCAAGACGATTTATGGCTCTATTTCAACTGACCTGTTGTGCCTGCTGCCCACTGTGGCTTGCGCTGTCTACGTACTTTGCCATAATAGGCAACAGGCTCCCACTCTGGCATCGTGCTACCCATAACCTTTCCTGTTTTCCTGTTTCCCCCCTTCCTTTTTGCAGCTACTTTTCATCGTTGCCTGCCAGCTATGCTGTGGTGGTGTGGGCTGGACTGCCACAGTACGTGGGCTGTCAACCTGGCACTGCCATTGCTTGTTCAATGCATTGGCGAATTGTCTGAGGTTTCCTTGGTTCTGCATGGAGGCATCCAAGATCGCAGCTTGATCTTCTCCCTCCCCCCGGTCCAAGATAGGCGGTTCCTTGCTTGGTTCCAAAGCAGTTCATCACATTTATCTGCTGCGTGCTGTTGCTGAAGTGTTGTGCTGCCTGCCGACAGCCCCCCTTCTGCAGCAGCTGCGACTCAGTGGCCTTCAAGTGCGGCAAACCCCCTTTGCACGTCCCGCGCCCAAGACACAGTGGCCAAGCCCCAATGGCCACGATGGGCCACCTGCAACATCTGGAGGCTTCAACGCCGGGGGCTGGAGGGGCCACCAGAAGGAAGGGAGGGACTGCAGATCAAGTTTGGAAGATCCGCAAGCTCTGTCCGACAAAGTTGAAAAGTATGCTTGCGTTCTGCTTTGTGCACCTGAGAGTGAAGCTGTGCTTCAGTTCCATTGTGTTGAGCCCTTGACTGCATTGCTGAAAGTTGATAAAGAGCTGTCCTTGCGCCAACAAGGTGCAGGCTTCCGTTTCGTGTCGAGAAGTGGTCAAGTGTTGAGCACCAACCATCTGGATGTCAACCAGATAGTTGATTTTGCTGCACATTATTCATAACAGCACGTTCTTTACTGCACCGTATTTCATCACATTTACAATTCGAGGTGCTGCTGGGATCTGAACATATCTTTGCAACATGAAAGGATGATTAGTTTCATTACTTCACACTTCAGCAGCCAAAAGGGCAGGGTACCTGGGCACTGAACTTCTGTGCATTCCCATCTGTGTGCAACAACGCAAAGGCAAGTTGTGCATCGTACTCTGGCCCTGCAGAGCATCAGACAGAACAAGACAGTGCGCGGGCAAGGCCGGCTCCTCCATTTCTGGTTTAGCAGTTTGTGTGCATACACGAGAGTGCACAGCAGTGGTCCCACGAGCATCTTGTTGAGTATGTAAGATATGTTGTCTGCTGGCCCAAGATAGATGATTGCTGGCCTGTGCTTGCAAGCAGCTTCCACATCTGCACATTTCTGAGAATGAGACGTTCACACCCTGGGGAAATAATCGCAACAACGAACAGCCTACTTTTCAGCAACTTCTCATTCCTGAAATAACAGCTGTGGAAAGTGTGGAACAACAGACAGCATGGACTATGTGGCCATTCAGGACCAAAATGATTAAAATGGTAGTGAAGCAATCCTCCCTTGTGCTCTGAACATAAGGCTGTTCCATCGAGCTGATGCTGGATTAAGGCATGGGTGGTGAAAACCCCTGTTTAACGTTATGAGACTGACCCCAAACTGACTGCAACTACCTCTGATTTACATCTTGCAGGCGGTTGGTTCAGAATCGAGAAGCAGCGCGAAGGTGCCGACAACGGAAGCAGGAGTATTTGAGGAAACTGGTGAGTTGCAATTGCACTTGCAGTGGTTATCTTGCCACCATGACCTCGGGCACAAGGACGAGTGTGACGAGCAGCCTGCAGTGTGCAGAAGGAAGTCTGCAAGAGGGTCACACACACAAGCTGGGAACAGACACTGTTGTGGATAGATTTCCAAGGCTTGCCTTGCACCTGCATCTGCAAGGATGTTTGAATGGTTGCCAATGAACTGCAGAGGGCTCTCACCATAATCGATGCATACCCAAATCCTAAGCCATAGTATCTAACCCCGAAGACTGAAAAGACCTAGGCCTGCACTCTCAACAACCATAATTTTGGATATCTGTGTGACAAAAGCTGACTAGATTTGTCCACACATACTATTTTTCTGTTGGGGAAGGATGAACCAGCTGTGTGGCACACTACTTCGTGCAGAATGTTCAGAGCTACAGTTCAGCTGGATGCCATTGCTGGTGCCAGTTTGTTGTTGATTGCGGCATCCAGCCATTGCAATCCCATGTTGAGCTCTACCCACCTTACACTGGTGGAAAGCAATAGGTTTGCACTTTTATTCTGTCCCCTCTGTGTCCCCTTATGTGAGCTGCCTGCTGCACCTCTCAGGCAAGCAAAAAGTGTATTGTCACATGTTGTAGATGGTTTGATTGCAGCAGACTGACTCCAATGTTAGTACTTTGCTTCCAGTATGGAGAATTATTAAGGTTGTGCTGTTGAAGTACAAAAGTGCAAACCGCACAACCTTCCCTCACCTATATTTTGCTTTTATCTCTGAAATGGCGATCAATGGCTGCACTATGCTAGTGTGCTGCCCCCGACCCACCCTTGAGCCCAGGGTACCCACGTTGAATTGTGCACCAAAACAATGAATTATTTGCAGCTCATCGCATTCTTCCATGTGCATCATCTTTCTTGTGATGCCCATCACCTCTTCCTTTGCAGCTGTGAGCCCGCCATGACCTGGAAAGCAGCATGCTGGTCATGACGTGTGTCTGTGCTGTATTCAGATTCTCGAACAGTTTGCTAGTGGTCTTCATGTGTTTCAAGGTGTTCATTGAAATCAGTCGCCAGATCCCAGTTTAGTCGGTCTGCATTGTGGACAAAGCTGCAAGACTCTCAAAGTGACACGACACACAGGAATCTCCTGTGTTCCCAACACTGCTTTTGCAAACAATTGGCGAACACACATCTGGTTCACAGCAACTGAGCAGCTGCACCTAAACTCTCAGGAGCAAGAGGTGGAGGCGTTGAGGAGGAAGTTGAACGCAAGGGGGGCACAAGCAGCAACTGGAGCCAACGGAAAGAGTCAGCCAGCATCTGCATCAGATCAGGTGAGTCAGCCTGCTGCACAAGGTCCGATGCAGAAAACCGGACAGTGACCTGGTTGGGTTCAGTTGATGGCTGAATTCCTTTGTTGACAGTTGCCTTTGAAAACCAGGTGGTGCCATTGCATCTCGCTGATGACGACAGGCGGATACACATCCAAGAACCTTTTTCTGTCCCTCATTCTTTCATTTTCCAAAGCATTTGCGCCTATGAGCAAAATCTTTGTTGCATTGAGCGAAAAATATTGGTCCTATTCGCCTCCTGGCCTTGTTGGTGGACTAGTGAAGCAGCTTTAAACAGATGCATTCAGCAACAAGAGTGGAGGTGTAGACACATATATTGGTTGATTGGAAGGGATATTGACACATCAACGGGGTTGAAATGTGCAAGACACAGTCCTCACGCATGCAGTGAAATGGTATGCACCATAGGATAGGCAGGCACACATGTTTGTGCAGAATGTTTTTGCAGCAGATTCATGTCTCAAACAATGGTACCACATTCTCCATATTGAAACCCAAGACAAAACTTGCTATCTGACTCTGGACTACATTTCATTCACCCCGTGCTTGCAGCACCACTTGAGTCATGGCAGGCTGTGGCCCTCAATTTGGAGCAAATCAGACTTCAGCCTTTGGCCATGAGTCAGTCATTTGAAGGAGCAGCAACGCAAAGCACCCAACAGCCAGTCGACTGCTGTCATCTCCCACCACCCAAAAGTGGGCCCAGTGTGTGCTTGTTTTTGAGGGGGCGATCTAAATAGATCATACATTGTATCATCCAATGTATGATCTGTTTTCTGCTTTTGGAAGACATCTTGACCGCCTGTGGGCATATGTGCTGCTGAATTCGATGCCCTGGGGCACCTGCTGAGCTTTTTGCCATCTTCAGATCGCTGGTGATCGAGCGGACTTCATTCGCTGGAGGAACGAAGAGCTGAAGCTTGTGCATTGCATACGTGACCTCATGCAAGATGGCGACGATGGCAAACTACAGTGAGTATGCAAGTGTACACTTGGGAATCATTGGAAGTGTGCATTTGTAACTGTACTTGGTTCAGTGCTGTGGTCCACCATGTTGTAGCATGGTTCAAGAATGTGTTCAATTGTTTGCCTCTTGAGCCTTCAGTGTGTTGCCAAATGGTACTCAATCCACAGGTTGGTAGTCACCTGGGTCATCAAGTGCTATTTGGCATTGGGGATATCCCAGCGCTTTGCTGTTGGTGCGAATAGGCAACAAGCACAGCACGGTGTAATGGGCATCCCTCTTGCAAGTGCACTCTTGTATCTGAGGCTGCTTGCTGACGGGAAGCTTCGATCGTCATTGATATGTTGTCGTACCTGCTGTTGACCTTGTCTCGCTGTGATTGAACACACGCTGACAGCTTTTCTACGTGCATCCACACACCAACGGAACATGGGCTGGTAGCTGTCATTCGTGGTGTGTCTGTGGTTCAGATCTTGTTGACAGTAGCTCCTATAGTTGCACAAGACAGATGACAATATACCAATGCTTCAGTCTTTTGCTGAAACTGTAGATTTTCTAGTGTCTCCAGTAGTTTGGGTTGGGATACATGAACAATGAACAAGAACGGTTTTTCAGCAAACCTGCTGAAGCACTAGTTGGATGCTGATATGTGAGAGGGCCCGGCATGTTTATGCTGGGACGGTGTGCGCCAGAGTACGGCGTGTTTTCAGGTCTCGGAGCTTCTCAACTGTGAAGGTGATGTTGCACGTTTCCATGCTCAACAGGGAAGTGGTGGACACTCTGTTCAATCAGCAGATTCGAATGTGCAACGACCGCCGGAGGCTCATCGCCAGCGGCAGGTGGCACTTGCTCGCCAGCGGCACCGAACTCAACCCAGCGCAGCGGCTGCTGCTTTGGCTGGGTGGCGTTCGGCCCAGCCTGACCTTCAAAACGACGATCCACATGTTGGCAGCTGTGAAGGGGGCGATGGGCAGCCATGACATGTTGTTCCTTCGTCAGCTGTTGGAAAAGATAATAGAGAAGGAGAAGGAGCTCCAGGGAAGGCACAATGATGAGAGGGACAAACTGGGCCTCGAGTTGGGTAAGCTCTTCATCGAAACATTTGGTTACAGTTGTCAAACAAAACGTGGCAAAACACTGCCCTGGCACCTTATAGACGATGTTGGCCTCTAATTTCATGCAGGTGTTTGTTAGTATCTGAGCATTTGTTCATTTCCACCCCAAGCTCTGGCAAGCTCTCCGGCTGTGCGTTGATGTCCCTGTCCTTGCTTGGGGTGGGTTATGGTGGCAGCAGGAGGGGATGGGGATCTGCAAGGGAGTCCCAGGGCAGGGTGCCCAGGGATGCTCCCCACCCCAACCCACCCACACACCCCAAAATACCAGCCACGAGATACAAGATACAAGACGCAAGACACTCACCCCAGGACAGAGCCCGCTATGTGCTTCCTTAGGAGGGGTGTGTCACTGTGGGATCATTTTCTCGGGGCTGTAAAATGCATGTTCACACCCGTCCTGGCCCTCATGCCCCCAGAGTCCTTCAGAAAATTGTCATATGAACAGCCTGACGCAGCTGGGTATCCATTGAGTGATTGTGCTGTCAGATGTTCAATGAAAGTGAATGCAAGAACAGGAACAACCAGACTCCTGTATCGATGTGCTGTGGAACACCTACATCAACTTGCACTTGCTTGCGATGTGGCAGAAGGTCCCACATCTCTGCTGGGCGAGGGGCGACACATGGACTCTTAAATGTGTTGCAATATTCTGGAATCACCCCTAGTGCCCCATGTGTGCGCACAGAAAACTGCCTGAGTATTGTCTACCAGTCTCAACAACAACGCTAGTTCAGTTGTTTGAAAACGTGACTGGTGTTGACTACAACTGCATGGGTGCTGAACTGGCTGCCGGATTTGCATGGATCATCTGCAATGTTGAATACATTGCATGCGGCTGCCTGCAGTTGGCTTTTCTTCGTGATTCCGAACATTATGTCACATTGAGACCAGGTACCACACCCATCCTAACACAAGAGATGTAGGCCTTGGGCCACGTGACCAAGAAGTGCAAGGCGATGTAAAGCCCACAAAGGTTGTTCGTATCCAATTCAATGCTCAGTCTCGAAAAAAAATTTGAGGAAGAATGTGCTGGCAATTCAGCAGTCGTCCCCCCCTGCTTTGATTGCTCTTGTCGCAATGTGACAGCTCACACAGATGTCAGACAGTGTCCACGGTATCAGTCCATTCTATTGAGGGGTCTGAAGTCTGAAAGAATAAGCACACACCCAGAATAGCAACTGTCCATGTTATTGAGGAAGGACAAGGCTGCAAGTACACAATGCAAAGCATGCAACGCTGGTGTGCTTCTGTGCTGGTTACAGGCTGGCCTTTGAAGGGGGCCGCGGACCGGCCCGCGCAGCATGACGAGCCCACTTCCGCCGGGCAAAGGGATTCCATCAACAGCGTGGAAGAAGATCTTCACAGCGCTGGCGGCGACGAGCCGGGCAGCCCCGAAGCTGCGGAGGACAACAGCATGGAGGAGGCGTCCGCGCCTTGCAGAGAGTCTGCGTCAGTGGGCAACTCAGATCAGGGCGCTGCGTCCCCATCGCACATGTCATGTTCAGGGGAGGCCTCGAACGGGAACGGCAGCAAGCCGACTGTGCAGCCAGCCATCCCGGAGTCGCTGGCCCACCTGGGCTCAAATTTGGGATGGCAGGGTGTGGGGTGGGGGCAGCAGGCTGTGGTGCAGGGCAGGGGGCCTGCGAAGGGCGAAGATGAGGGGAACAGGCGCAGGAGAGAGCAGCTGGCAAGGTGCGAACCAGGCTATGAGATGCGGGGCATGTGGCGGGCTTTGCCGAACTCTGAATGGACTCTGATGGAATGCTGCCTTGCAGCTGCAGGGTGAAGAAAAGGGCGCAGTCCCAGCTTAACATGTGTCCATATATGCCCTGTTACTCAGACCATGCGAATAGTTCTGAACAAGGGATTGATCCTTGGAGCAACCAATGGTGGATTGCTATAAGATCACAACCGCACGGCACAAGCTTTGTAGTTAAGAAACGCACTAAATACTGAAGGATGTCGCTTATGTGCGGTGATTGTTGTAAGGATGATCAGACAGGCTTTGGGAAAACCCTCGTCAGTAATAATGCCTGTTTTTTCAGCCTTCCAATCGCCTGGACAGGGTGACCTGGCACAGTTCCCAAGGGGCACAGTCGTCAACATGGGCGCATCCCAGCCCTTTTCCCCATCGTTCAACGTCAGTCGCTCGGCCTGCACTCAGCACTGGTTTCCAACAGTGGCTCTGTCCAGCGACCAGCCCTGAGACGTGCAACTGTGCTGAGGCATATGCAGGCGCGATGCGGCCATGTGGGGGCTGAAACCTGGCTGTACCTGCGCAGGAAGTTCCAGGGCATCATAGACGTCCTGGCGGACGCCGAGACATTCCGATCCGACCTGCTGACCCAGTCCAGGCTTAACCTGTCCCTGCGCACCTTCGCGATGCTCCTCATCGCGCCCGCGGAGCTTGCCGAGAGGACGAACAATCTGGTGGAATTGGCCGTGCGGTCGATCATGCCCCTGGAGGCGCTACAGTCGCCCTCCTGCCCGCGATTCGGCTCCTTCTCGTCGGTCACGACCAGACCCCGGAGCGAGACCCCGGCATCGCCATGCTCGCTGCCATTCGACCCCCCAAGGTGCAGGTCGGGATTCTTTTGAACACGAGGAAGATTTCCTACTTGTGGTGTTGCGGCAAAAAACTTGCATTTCACCATCCGCGCTTTTGAACGGGAGGGGCCCGCTTGGGGGAGCGGGTGCGGCGCCATTGCGTGCTGAGGTTGCACCTACTTTGGAGGGGCGTTGGACTTGGTTCGTGGGAGCTCGCTTCTGCGCACAGCGGCAACGGCAAGGGCCGAGCTAGGGAGCTCAAGGATGCATTCCAGCTGAGGGATGCTGCGGGCCTTTCGTCTTCCTCTTACTCGTGCAGTGCCCGCAGGGAGCCTGCTTTGTAATGGAGGCAGAGGATGGATGCCGATGGATGCTGATGTCCGCCTTTTTAGGCTGCAAAAACGGCTCCTTGGCTGCTGTTTGCCATGTGGGAAATCATCAGTCCGGGGCCGGTGAGGGAGCCTTTGTTTGAACTTGGAACAACTTAGGGTCTTCTCTATTCCAGTGCCATTGAGCGGGCCTTTGTTTGGGCAGGGAGCAGATTAGGGAGGTGCATTAGTGTAGATAGCCCTGCTGCCTGCTGAACAGAGGCAGGAGAGAGGCTGCGGTTGTCTGTGCTGACTGTCCAGCGTCGTGTAGCCAGGATTTAGTTGGTTTGGAGGGGGGCGTTTGGACAGTTGAACGTTTGAGGCGTTGTTTTGCTGGGATCTCTACACGAGCTGTTTGGATGCCATCAAGCAGAGATAGTATGCAGTGGTCTCGGAACGTTGGCCCCGCTGCAGGGTTGCCTGTGCGCGTTGTCAAACTTGCGCACATCTGCCACTGCATTCCCCTGGCGAACACTACAGGCATCCTGTCTGCGACTCGAAGGCCCGCTGCGGCCTTCGACAGCGCAGGTGTGGTTGTGGCAAGGTGCCGATTTTGGCAGTGCGAGATCTGAGGGTGAGCGCGGATGGGCGGGCTGGAGTTGATGGATGGCCCAGGCGGTCGGAGTTCGAGGTGTTGTACACTATTCTTGTTTACGATGCCTGCTTGGACGCTGCACGCCCCTGGCCCCGAATCGAGTGCCTGTGGATTCGTCTTGGATGCACAAATGTCCGATACCTTCATTGCCAGACATGATTTCGTGAAGGTTATGAAGGGGTCATGAAGGTTATCGCGACACACTCTTAACCCACGGTCCTACCCAGGCTCAGGAGACAGACTGTAAAGGATGGCTTACGTGATATACCCTGTGACAAATCCGCAGTACAGCATTGGACGCCAGGCCCTATTCTGTCGTTCACTGTCGCCATCTCCACCTTGCGCATTCATCACGTGCGCCTTGCATGTCATAATTTCCTTGCACAAGTACAGCGTCCTCGCCAAGGTCATGGAGTCCATGAATGTCATGAAGGTCATTGTCGTGTTTGGGGTGTCCTAGAATTGGGGTTTTAGATCCCCAGAACCCCTCTTGCCCTTCATGACCCCTCATGACCTCCATGTCTGGAAATGATAGGTATTGAGCTGAATGCAACATATGGGGACTGGCAGCTGAACGACAATGCGCTCTCAGCACAGCACCGGCTCCCGTTTGTTTCCATGTAGCTTTTGGCCATATCATGGCAAATGCAGTTGACGGATTTAGATGATAATGATTGGGAGCCAGCCACACAGCATTGGCATCTTAGTAGCGAGCCTGCACGCTGCTTTCCCCATGGTGCTTGGCTTGATTGTGCAGTTGTGGAGGAACCCAGGGGCGAGGGGCGGCTGCTCTTCGTCGGAGACAATGTTCGCCAAGCGACAGCAGCCAAAGTGTCGCACCCCGTGAAATGCTTGTCCATCCCATGCAGTTCGCCAGCTACAATCGTGTGCACACACCCGGGTACCACAAACACCATCTTCCGTGCTCAAGTGCCAGGCATTCTGCAGCAACTCGGGCAATCCCAATTGGAAACCAACCCCCCTCCCCCGGCCATTCCCACAGACGGCAAAGCGCCCAATCAGAGCCGAAGTCTTGACAGATGCCCGCCCGAGTTTCGCTGGAACTTCCACCGCCACAGGGCCGCCAGAATTCCACCAGAAAATCCACAGAATTTCGATTAAGGGCAGCTCGGGCGCATGACGCGACTCCAACCCTCCCCGGCGTCAACATCCGCAAATTCGCCGCACCAAGCTCCCAACGCCTGTGTCACGTGGAGGTACAAGTGTTTGACAGCGCCACGCCCCCAGCCCATATCCCCTCCCCAGATAAGCATCCAAGCACAGCCCCCCCCGCGCCCCCAAACTATCCCCACTCCTCGTATCCCCCTTGGGACACACACACACACACACACACACACATACACACAGACACGGGGGAACACATGCAAGCCATGCTGTTGCATACGGCCTTTCTTTCGGGCGCTCCAGACGCGCAGGGGAGCCAACAGCTGGCAGACGATGAGGACGAGTGGACGTGAGGGGCACCCCTGCCGCGATTCGGGCCGAGGCCCCTTCCCCTTTTTCCTGGCGATTGTGCTCTGCCGCGAATGCATTTTGGCCCGCCGTGGTTGGGGTGAGCCTGTGGGGTGGGTGGCTTGATCGCAGGCCGGTGGAGGAGAAGATATTCGAGGCAGCGTTCGCGTTCTACCGGAACCACGCCAACAGGTGCGTCCCATCCTCCGCCCCCCTCCCCCCCCCTCCGTCCCTTTTGTGCTGCCCATTCGATTGCCGCGTCCAGCGGGGTGGGCTGTGGAGGGAGGCGTAGATCGTCCGAAGCCCTGCCCAGCGGGACACCGACGGACGCGGAGATGTTCGGGATCCCGTTGGCCACAGCCCCCCGGCCCTTCGCAACTGTTGTGGATCGGCCAAGCGCCAAATCCCATCAGCAGATCTCTCCGCTCGGCTTCGCCCATGTCCACCCGATCCCGCATCCCGTTCGCCGCGATCCAGGCCGGCCTGCGCCCAGACCGCCCTAGCCAGCCCGCCGCGCCGCGAGTTGGCATTTCTTGGCGCTCATCGTGGGTGCCGATCTGCGCAGGTGGGCCCAGATCTCGAAGCTGCTGCCCATGCGGGACGCCGCGGCCTGCGAGAGGCACAGCAGAGACCTCCAGGCAAGCCCCCCCTCCCCTTTCTCCGTTTTCGGCCCCTGCGCCCGCGCGTTACCCGGCGGCGTCACCGGCGACCCGTCACGCGAACGAGCACGAAAATTTTCCCGCTGCTCATTGTCTCTGTGCGCGCACCCTTGGACCCAGAATAGGCGACTCGATCACAGGGACCAAGCCTCTCGCTTTGTGCAGCCGAGGCTTTGCCTTGAACCCCCGCGGCCGCTCGTTGCCGGACGGCGTCACCAGGACGCCCGTCACGGGCGGCATCGCGAAAATTTTCCCCCTGCCAAGCCCAGCCTCTCCTATCGTGTCCCCATGGGCCCCGCGTATACGACTCTACATCAGAGACTGAACTCAGCTCTCGCTTTGCACCGCCGCGGCTTTTGCAAGCCTGCGCGCATTCGCCTCCGGCGCGAATCCAGAGCGACACCGTGACGTTTCGGGCCCGTGTCGGCGCCAGACCGCCGCGAGGTCGGGGCCAAGCACACTTTTCGGTGGCGTTGCCGAATCGTGTGGGCGCAGCGGCGTCGTGTGGCCGTATCTTGGTTTGATGGGTGATTCGGCTTGATGTGGCGGGCCACACGTACAACGTGGGGGGCGGGGTGGGGGGAATATCTATGGAGGGTCAGTCGGGGAGGCTGACTGAGGGCCGTTGACGAAGGCAAGCAGGATCGAGGATCGAAGGGTGGCGACCCATGGACGGGGACCGGGGTTTCGACTCCACGGCTACGGTTTACAGCCGAGACGGGACAACAGGAGTTCCGTCCCTCATGGGCAGTCCGTTCAGCAACGTCCTTGGTGCAATTCCTGGTGCCTCGGCACTTCCCTGTGCGTCCAGTTGTTGATGATACTCAATCAATTCTGGTCACAACACGTGACGTGATGCGTGGAGCGCGCGTTTTGGCGCTGGTTTTGGGTGGGCGTCATGGCGGCCAGTCCCCTGTTGACCTCTCCTGACATCCGCACGCAGACTCCCACCTGGGCCGCCTTGCAAGTGCAAGAGCTGTGATTTGACGCTAGGACGAGTCTAATCAAAAACTTGCACAGTGACAGTGCGGCACTTACTTGTTGGGGAAAAATGGTGTCAGTATCAGTACTTGATAAAACCTGCTTTTATCGTTTTTTTTTTTTTTTCCTGAAAGAGTGGCAACAGAGCAGCTCTGTTGCGTCACAGATCCCATGATGTGTTCTATGATTTTATGGCGTTTTCCACGATCAGGTGCAAGGCCTGTGCTTTGTCCGGGATAAGGCATTTCAAAGATCTTGTCTGTGTCAATGCTCTGTTATGTAACAATAATATGGTGTGATTATCGATAATATAATGTAATGTGATAATCGATAATATGGTGTATTGTGATAATACACCATGTCATGTCTCCTGTGATGTCTTCCATGATTTGTTCCCTTCCATGAGATTTCCTGTGCACAAGGGCCGGCGCAACTGACGGGAGTCCCTGCTGCGCAGCACTGATGTCCTGTGGGCAGGCACACCTGGTGCCTGCAGCTGAGCATCTCAGTACAAGTCTGTATGCCGACTTCAGTCCTTGGAGCACACCATTGACCATGTCTCCGGGGCACCGAGTGCCACGCAACACAACATGGAGAGGGCACTCTTCTCCCCAGGTGTGGCGGTGATCATCATCAACAAAGAGGCCAAGTGGGTGGTGGTGGGAAGCCTGGAGCACTGCACGCAAATGGACAGCCATTCAGTCGCGTCTGAGCGCGGAGGACTTTCTCCGATGGTGTTTTCACCCCAACACAGCCGATGGGCTTCCTGTCTCAAAGGTTCCAGCAGCTCGCTGGACCGGTGCTCGTGCGGTGCGCATGCCCGTGGAGAATCTCATCGGACATGCGTACATCTGATGTACAACAGTCGCCGAGGCGCACGGGGACGCCTGGCAGGTTTTTTTTCTTCTTTTCTCCATTTTCTAGATTGATGGGCTGCGTTGAGGACTCATTCAGACTCACTGAAAAAGCGGGGCGACACGGGCATGGGAAGCTGACTTTCAAGTTCTCCACATTTTGGTGAGCGCACGGCGTGCGTGCGCTCCCCCCGAATTTTGCGTGGCATTTTGAAACGTGTGTGCCAGTCGGGGTGGGCACGAGCGCGCTGCCCTGTGCTCGATTTGGATCATGTCATCCGCGCAATTTGTTTGACGGGCGGATCGGCTGTTGAGGCTGCTTGGGGGTGGGGTGGGTTGATATGAGAGGAACTTTGGGTTTGAGGGAATAAAGTTGGGAGAGGGCTTGAGAACGGAGGGTGCCACCGTCACACGTTGCTATCTGCACGGGGCGTCGCTGACGACGCCATTTTCAAGCTGGGAGGTTTGCAATTGTCATGTGCGCTAGGAATGGAGCAACTCTTTTTCAAGGTGGGGTCTCGGAACCGTCGGAATGAGCAGCACGGTGACCTGGGGTGGGTGGATGACCGGATATCGTGTAAACTCGAATGAAGCGCAGTGGTGCGCAGTCTATGCTTGTGTGTGTGCGTCATGGGGAGAGCGCCCCACTGCGTCAATGGAAACTGGTTCCATTTTCCGTGTAGAATGTCTCCTTAAGCGCCCACACTGTAGTAAATTCAACCCTTCCGCGTCAAACAATTTTTCTGTGAAGAGTTTTGGCCTGCATTTTTTCCAGACGCTTTTTTTCAACGTTGCTTTGCGAAAATTTGTTAGAAGAGCGTTGTTTGTTTTATTGTTCTGTCTGCAAAAAAGGGCCAAGCGTTATGGCGCAACTGGGGGCCGAAGGGAGACCGCTGTTGCAACACCCTCCCGTTCTCCGGAATGCGCAGCAGTCAGTGTCAGTGTCAGCGTCAGTGGCTCAAGCCAGAGGCTCTCTTGCCCAGAAGCACGCCATACATCAAGCACTTCATACATGGCCACAAGCACTCCTCTCCACTCTAGTGGCCACGGAACCTATTCAAATCCGTAACAAATAATGTTGAATCTTGTACCAAACTCCCGCCATACCAATAAAATCGAAACTGGCACCAAACAATATTGAATCTGGTACCGAATTGGCGCCTGCACAAAAAATGTTGAACCAGCACCAGTTAATCATCAAATCGCCGCCACCATGCAGAGCTCATAAACCCCAGACCCCAGACCAAGCGCAAGTCCAGTGCTGGTCGCAGGGCTGGTGGCAAGCTGCCATTCGATGACTATTTGGTACTGGGTTCAACATATTTTGGTACACCGTTCAACATTTTGGGTACCGGCGCGAATTTGGTACCAGATTCAATATTGCTTGCTTGGTACGGAATTAAATATACGCGAGTTGGCCACTTGCGTGCTCCCGCCAATCTGCCCTACAATCCGCTCCACCGCCCCACACCGCTTCCACCGTGCTCTCCTTTCGCAAGGCCGCAACCGAAAGCCCGGGCGCAGGGCGCCGCGGTTCAGAGGCCGATCCTCAAACATACCTCCACCGGTTGCTGGACGCATTGAATCTCCCGGTGGGCACGGCCGCTCGATCGACAGTTTCGACGCAAACGGCAACCGTGGCGGGCACGCCCGACAGGAGCCTGTCAGCCGCGAGGCCACCCAGAACATCTCTTTTCCATTTTGCGCCCGCTCTTGTCCATGGGCGTCCGGGAATTTCTGCGGGCTACTCGCGGCCTTGAACGCCCCTCACACCGGCCATGGCTCTGATGCCATCCAATGACACCCGCCGTTGACGCCAAAATTTTTTGGCGGCCGATCGCCGCCGAGCCATCCTTTGGCACGTCTCGCCCACTTTTTGCTGCTTGTGTCCTCCGCGCCGGCACTGGAGATTTCTGAAGGCGTTTGTCAGGTGTCCCTTGGGCCCAAGGGACCCGAAATGCCGCTGCATTTCGGCCTCCCCTCTGATGCGTCAGTTATTACGTTGCCCCGTTTGACTCAGTTCCACGCTTCGAGTGCCGGCAGTTGGCTGGGACCCGATCTTTCTTTCTTTTGTTTGTTTGTTTTTGTTTTCTTTGCTGCTTTATGTGCGCGTGTGTGCTCGCGTGTGGTGTGATCTCGGTGTCAGGAGGCAAGTTTGGAACCGAGACAAGGGTGATGAACGAGTTTTTGGAAGGCCATTCCAAGTTAAGCGTGTTGTGGTTGTGGCGATGGTGGTGCTCTGCGCGCTGGACGGTTCTGTGGCGGAAGCGATCTATCTCAGAGTGCAGCACACCGGGTTGTGGCACAGTGCAACGCGGGGACTGCATGGAATCCAGATCCTTTGCTTGGATATGCTGGAAAGTGACACAGAACTGACAAAATGGGCAAAGCCATGTGGTGTTCTAACCCGCAAGGCGTGTAGAATGGAAATGTGGCTGCCCACATAGAATGTCCAGCAATCAATGTCCCAAGAATGCCAAACTCAGAATGCAAAAGTCTGCGCAGTGCTGTGGATGCAACCAAGCGTCCGAGAAGGGTGGCGTCCGGGGTTATTGCAAATTGCAGGACAGGCGTTCTGGGTGGTGTTCTGTCTGTGGCCTCTCAGGCGACATACGGAACACATATCTCACCCCATTCTTTTGCCAAGCACTGTGTTGTCCTTGTGGACCGCCAGGAGAACTGACGCTGTCTGATGACCTCAGCTCGATGGAGGCAGGCGCCATGACCAGCGTGTCATTTATGCGGTGGTGCAATGCGCGCAATCATTCAGTGCATTCTTTGGAATGCATTCATGCTCGGAAGCCATAGATGCAGCCTTTGGTTGTCCCTTGATGCAAAGTTGCAGCAGTCTGCACCCCATCGTGCCAGATCTGCAGTAGAAAGATATGCAGTCAGCATTTGGTTTTTTGGTCCACATCTGCACAACATTAACACCATCAGTGGACATCCTGTTGGATGTACATAACACCCTACTTGTGTTGAACAACTCCTTTTCTGAGCGATGCTTTCTCAAGGCAAAACAATGCACCTGGTGGCGATGGGCATTCTCATATCTGTATTGTTCGCTACTTCCCTTTTTTTTGTTCATGTTCCTTGGTGCACCAATCATGCTGTGGTCTTTACCTCATGCAGAAACCCGGCTATCCTGAAGCTTTGCACAATATCATAGGAGTCTGGGCTTTTCTTGTTGGCTTGCACAAATGGACCTGGAGGACTCCAAAAAGGATTGCATTCCAAGCAGGAGCATACACAAGTTTGAATGGCCAGGGCAAGGCTCTGTCCTGGGCATTGATCTCAGTCATGCTTCTTTCACTTTTCGCTGGGAAGCATTTGCTGCACTGTCCTAGTGATTAAGCACAAATGTGCTGTGAACCAATCGAACAACAGGAATATTAAACTTGTGAGTGGATCTGGTGTCTTGCCATTCAGGAAGGTGCCTTTTGGAACCCCTAGCCTCAAATCCTGGCCTTGAAGTCAGAAAATTCCTGTCAAAGCAGTTGAACCACTTGCTGGTCAACAACCTCCCCACTCAAAGTTTCTTCCCTTTGACTTGTCACTTCCCTGCATCCAACAACTCGAGTGCAGTTCTATCTGAAACGTAGTCCTAGGATCGTGGATGTCCATTCGAATAGGAGAACGACACCCGTGAGGTCACAAATCCAGCAGCATCTGGCACATGAAGGGACAGTCAACACATCGATGATGCCTTGATTGTGGACATCTTTCTGGATTGGTTAACTGCTTGTCCCTTCTTGATTTGTCCTGCTAATTCTCATCCTCAGGCCAATTGACACAGCATGGCTCGCGGTGGCCTCGCAGCTCCCCTCCTGGGGAGGTCCCAGGGCTCGGCGAGTGGCACCCTCAGAAAGGTGTTTGGCAGCATAAGCGGCCTCTGCCTATTGATCCTCCTGATCCTCTTCTTCGTTTTCGTGCGCTACTCACCTGAGGATGCTGATGTGGACGTCTACTACATGTGGTAATGCAAAAACTGTCAATGCTAGGCATGCTTCAAACCCTTTATTTACGTTTGTCACATAAACATGACGAAACACTGCCCTCGCACCTTAGGCGATGTTGGGCTAGGCATGCCAGGCATTCTTTAAAAGCTTAAAGGTATTCTTTAAATTCCTAAAATGCTGTAGTCTCTTGCTGAAATCGTAGTCTCTTCAAATACTTGTTCTTAAAGCCAGACCTCAAGCACGAGAAAGGGCCACAACGTTTTTAACTTTGTTGTTAATTTCAGTTCAAGTCAGAAAGTGTTTTTCTTTATCAATTGGACATGGGCATGTCGTCACAAATCGTGTGCAGCATGGTGTGGAATGCCAGTACCTCTCACTCAAAGATTTGTTGTGTATGGCGCTTTGTTTCCATTGCAGACTTCTGCCCTGCAGTCCAACAGGCAAGTGCCTACCCAACCTGGCAATGGAGATGTGGGCCTTTGGCCACCCTATTCTGCAGCCGCACATGCCACTGTACTGTTGGCAACAAATGACAGGATGGACTATAGCATGTGCATGTTGTCATATTACATACGTAGCTTTTCCGACAAGAGCAATAGTTCAACGTGGAATAGGTGCACCCAAATGAACAAACATGCAGGAACAAACAAACACATATGCTTGGGTCAGTGGCCGCCGTTGCCAATTCTGGTGAAAGGATCTTGTTCGATCCTGTCACAAATGTAATGAACTCAGGTTTGGAAAGGTCATCCCAAGGGTGAGCAAGAATTGGATAGTTCGTGGTGCTTTGAAGGCACAAGGAGGTATAGTGCTTGGCTGTACAACAAACTATGTAATTGTGCTTTGCTCCCTAGGCACAGGGAAAGGCGAACTAGAAAATTTTGTTTCCAAACGAATCTCAGCAATCGCTGCAAGCAATGGCTGGTTGCCTCTTCGCCAAGCAGGGTGTTCGTCCATTGTGAATATCTTCTACCAATCTTTTATATGTACAGCACATGGCCTGCACGTATCCCGCACATATCTTGTACACGTCTTGCAGATATCATCCACACACTCTCCTTCAAAGCCACGATTGAACAGATGTGAACAAACTTCAGAGTCAATAACAACAGCCCTGCTAAGGAGACATGACATGTACCATTGATCCTTACCGATAACATACCAACCACCTGTCATTAATTGTTAATGCTTGCCATCTACATAATCAAAACTGACCATGTATTGTAAGCTAACCATCAGTCATGAAGATTGACAATGATTCCAGCCCAGCACCTCACTCCCTCACCGCTGCAGGTACATCCACGTGGCGATCATGATCTGGGTTGGCTTCGGCTTCCTGATGACCTTCCTCCACCACTACAGCCTGGGTGCCGTGTGCCTCAACTTCTTCGCCTCATGCTTCATCACCCTGGAGGCCGCCTTCGTGATCGGCTCCTTCTACTACTCGGACCACCATGAGGCTGGCAGCTGGCTGGTGGTGGACCTCAATCTGCCACTCCTGATCGAAGGCCTCTTTGCGGCAGCGGCGGGGATGATCAGCTTCGGGGCGGTGCTTGGGAAGGTGTCCCCGGCGCAACTACTGCTGCTGATGGTGTTGGAGGTTCCGTTCTACGCAGGTTGGCTGGATGCTGCTGCTGCTGATGGAATTCCATTGATAGTGTGTCAGCCACTGAGGGCTATGTCGCAACCCAAATGCACAAGAACAGTATGTCCATCGTTTGCCCCAGTGTTCATCTCACTCATGTACTGACTATCCGCCTCTGCATTGAGGCCAACAAATCATCCAGACTATTGCACACATCTGCATCCCGTAAACTGACATCCCGCCTGCCTCACCACCCCCAATGTCCACCCCATCATCCCCGAAGCTATGGGCTGGATGGGGCCCAGGACTGCAAAAGCTATTCCATTTTTCCCTTGCTCCAAAAATAGAACTGGTAGATGTTTTGTTTTGACTCTGTATGTGGATGCCTTGGGCTTTGCTGTTGCTGCTGTTGTTAATGGCTGTGACAGTGGCAATATTTGCAAGGTTTGTGGTGGTGAAGACAAAATGATGGTGATGAAGGTGGTAACGATTAATGCGAAGTAAGTATTAGAAATTGATGGTAAGAATGTGTATCATGGACCAAGTCCATCTTGCAACTCCAGATGCTCGTGGTTCCAGAGGTGCCCTATCACACATGTGGGCTTGGTGGTGGGAAGCTCTTCTTGCTGGAGCTGCTGAAATTTGAAACTAGGACTGAAAAGTTGAGAATTTCAAAAAGCTTGAAACTTTTTGCTGAAACTGTGGGCCTTTTTGGTAGTTTGCGTTTCTGTGTTTAGTTGCATTGACTATTAAAGGCACTGTAAATTTGGGCAATAACACTGCAACAAACACTGAAGCCTGTGGTGTGCCGGCATTACGTGTGCTGGCACAATTGAATACATCAACCAGAGGCAAATCACTGCAACCGTGCCTGCGATGGCAGGTGCAAGCCTCCAGGCACTGTCTGTTCAAAACAGTTTGTTCTTTCCCTTAAAGCCAAAGCAGCCCCCAAATCCCAGAGAAGCATACGGAAACAGCTCTCCTGAACACTGCAGTGCAGTCCCAGCTGCCAAGCACAGAACTGGGCAATCACATGTAATGGCATCTACATAAATCGACACAACTGTACCAGGGTCGCCATGCACGATGGACCCCAGAATATAAAATCAGTCAATGGAACTTGTGGCACAGCACTCGAGGGAGTTCTGGCTGTGGACTGGGAAGGGACTCTGAACGATGCAGAAGGAAGCACTCACTAGGAGGAACCAGCGCACAGTGCTGGCTGCAATCGAAAGATGTTCAGCAAGACGTCAGATCAGACAAGCACAAAAGATCCACACAAATGATTCGGCTTTGCTGCAGTGTGCGGCATGGCTTGTTTGCCTCACTTTGACTGGAGCACAAACTTACCACCGCGGAAGTCCCATCTTGGTGTTTGACACGATTCTTGGCTTCTTCGGCCAACGTATTCTATCCGCATCAGCCTAAACTTGACACTACCTGGTGCTTTGGAATCAAAAAATTGGCATGGGCTTTTTGAATTGATGACATTCTGATTGCTCATCCAGTGAACAACTACTTCATTATCGACCAAGTGTTCAGCGCAAAGGATGTTGGTGGCTCAATGGGCATCCATGCGTTTGGTGCTTACTTTGGCTTGGCGGCCACCCTCTTTCTCTCCCGGAAGGGCACGGGGTCCTCCCACACACAGAACAGGTGTGCAGGAGTGGCCATTTCGATGGTGTTTGCCACATCTGGGCAATACGCATGACGGCGTGTGCGACAAAAGTCTTCTCCTTGTTCCCCTTAGTTTCTCGAGTTGTTTCCCTCATTTTGAATGATAGGCATGAACAAGAATAAACAGGGGCATATACTTATGTAATGGGCGTATGTCCTTTGTTTGATTCTTAATTATGATGTATTGTTCTGGAATTAAAAAATTGGACAGATCAGTGCCGATTCACCTATTGAAGCCTATCAACCACTGCAAAAAATTAATATGTACTTCAAGATGTACAATATGTATAGCGCAATATGTATATACTTGCATTGTGTGTTTTCAAAACGTGCTGCAACGGCCACAACAGGAGCAACTACACCTCTGACGTCACCTCCATGATCGGCACCATCTTCCTGTGGATCTTCTGGCCCAGTTTCAATGCCACCATGGCGATGCCCGGCCCGTTCTCCAGCGCCATCCACGACAGCCGATTCACAGCAGTGGTCAACACCATCGTGTCCCTCAGCGGCGCCTGCCTGGCCACATTCATGGCATCGGCCCTTGTGGACGGCAAATTCAATGTCGTCCACATCCAGAATGCAACCCTTGCCGGCGGTGTGGCAATGGGCTCCGCGGCAGACCTGAGTGATGTGGGCCCAGGGGGGGCCCTGGCCATTGGCATGGTCGCAGGCATCCTCAGCGTCATGGGGTTCAAGTACATCGGCCCCGTGCTGGAGAAATGGGTTGGCCTTAAGGACACCCGTGGTGTGCACAACCTGCATGGGCTACCCGGGCTGCTGGGAGGTGTGGCTGCGGCAGTGGTGATGATGGTCAATGGGGACTGGCATGGGTTTGGGTACCAGCTGCTTGCCCTCTTGGTGACCTTCAATGTGGCCATCCTCGGGGGTGCGGTGTCCGGGGCACTGTCCAGCCTCGTGGACAGGCTGGGCACGGATGACGCAGTGAACGCGGCGTTCAACGACCAGTCCGCGTTCAGCATAGAGGTTTGAGTCCCATCGCCTTTGAGCTTGGCAGTTTTGGGGCTTGGGCTGCCGGAGGGCCTCCAGACGTTGCTGCCGTGTTGGATTTAACCGGATTTTTGCCCGTGCCAGAATTAGTAACCATACAACGAATGCCCACCCCACCCCACCCACCAATGCCAAAGTACATGTTGGATTTGCAAGGTGTTCTCTGTGCTTCGGAGGAACTGGAGCAAGGGCGGTGGAAGCCCAAGGTGGGGTGCGCTGGTTGGGCAGGGGTGTGCATGGTGTTGGCTTGCGCCCTTTGTGTTCGCTATCGTCTGGCGCCTTCGTTTGTTTTGCGATGGTCTCTGTTGGGGCAGGTGTCTTTTTTGAAAATGGAACTTATTGAAAACAGAAGGAAACGAGGTGCAGCCTCTGGGTCTGCTGCTGGAATCGAGGTGTGTTACTAAGGCGCGCTGGGTTCGTTAGAAAGGTGTATTGATAAGATGCGTTGTTGTTTTGCGTTCGTTGGACCTTGGGGGGCGTGCAGTGCACAATTGAGGCATGGCACATGGCGAGGTTGGTCTGCACGATGGTGTGCTTTGTGGGTCGCTTGCTCGCCAGTTTCACGACCCTAAAGAGGGTCGCTGGTGCGAATTCCCTAATTAGGGGACCTAACTATGCTCTGGGGCAAGCAGTGGGCAGCTGCCCGCCAGGGGCCTGGAAGGCCAGCTCGCGCAACCGTCGTCTCATTACCATGCGCGACGCTTGGCGTTGCTTGACTGGGAAACGGTGGCGATATTGTTCTCTCCAGAATTGGTTGTTGCTGCTCCATTGCGAGGTGGGAGGGAGTCTTTTGTGCGCGCACAATCCTTGTAACGCTGTTGTCACTGATTGAGTATTGTGAACAGCTGGGCGCGTAGCGAGATGATGGCATTAGGAATTGCATTAAGGACATCGGTGAACGGACTGGATATAAGGGACAGAATCCCTGTTGTCCCTTTGCTCGGCTTTAAGCCGTTGCGTGGACTCCAGACTATGGTCCGCGTTCAGGCGTCGCAAACCCTCGACCCTGCCTCCCTTCGTCGACGCATCTTGGTCTTTGCCACTTGAATGAAAATTCTGAAGTTCCGAAATTTCAGAAAAGATAACCTAGAATTTAGGAAAGACAGTTCGGTTGCGTGCATGAGGGCGTGACAGGCAAGCGTCGCCGACCGTCACCCGTCGTGACGAACGTCGCAAAGAGGCTTGACTTCAAGTATACACTTGTACTTATGTATATGTACTATACTTATATGTACCCGTACATATGTACAGCATGTTGCTTTCCTTGTAGCTCCCATTCTACTGCTCTGCTGGCGTAGCGGCGTCTGCAACATAGGGATGTAGCTTTTCTAGTAGCCACTGGAGTAACCATCCTCCAAGTGAACTAGGGAGTTCATCGATGCGCATCTGTAGATGAGCACTTAGCCGTCTTCCTCTTTCCTCCTTTGTGCAAATTTACAAAAATTGAATTACTTTAATGATCGCAGTGTCACCCATGTCCCTGCTGCGCCTTGTGCCTGCCAGAGGCTGTCAGTCGCGGGCGACGGCAGCCGTGAAATTGGGCCCGCGGTCCCGTCCACTGATCCCAGACGATAAACGGATCTCCACGAATCAATGGGTCAGCGAATCTCCGTCAATGGATCTCTCCTCCTTTAATTAAGATTGGTGTCGAAACAGCGCCACTGCTTAATTTCATTTCATTAATGAAACGAAGTTAAAATGAAAACGGAATATTCCGTGGCCTGTGAATATCCTTCCAAAGACCAACCCCTCCAGCAAGACAATCCAATTGCTCAACTGCGACCTGAAAAACAGCCACTTCAAAAGGCAACAAAGCCAAAAAATTGATTTCAAAAGTGAAATATCGCGTATTTTCAACAACTCCTAAATTCTAAGCAATTGTCGTAATCATCAATTAGCTGATTGCTGTGGGGGTGGGGCTGTTGCCGATCATTGACGATTAATCACAATATTGTGAGGTCAGGTGTAGGCCACTGCAAGAGGGACGCTGTATGACTATTTGGGTTCAACAAAGACACGTGGCATGACTAATGTGTCGAGCTTTTCTCGTTGCCCGTAAGGATGCTGATTGCTTCATTCATCAATTGGCGGATTTTGAAGTTTAAAATTAAAGTTTAAAACAGCTCTTTTGCAAAAGAATTGCTCGTTGGGCTCGAATCACACCATGTGGGGCGCCAGGGGAGGATGCGGGCCCCGGCAACGTGCTGGCCACGTGGGGTTCCTGCGCGGCACCTCGCAGCGCGTCCTGACTCCCCAGGGGTGCCCCATGGTTAGATCAAGCGTCCGGCTCCTACTGCTGTCGGAATGGCGGCCAACCTTCGGGAGGGCATCTGCACAGATGTGGACATGTCCACATCGAGCCCGGTGGTCGATTCTCTGCCTTTGTACATTGGGATGGCTGACCAAGCAGCTTGTGACCACATGGGGCAATGCCCACGTGACTGCACCACTCTGTGATGTGAAGGACGAGGCGGAGCCTGACTTCAGCGTGGCTCAGGCATTGAGAGGCAGGAAAGACTCAGGAAATCACCTTTGAGGCGGATCAGCGCCCTTCGCTGCTCCATTTTTTCACAGCCGCCCCATCCCCAAGTCAGTAAACGAAAGGGAGCAAACAATCTTCTGGCCGCTCGCAGCTGAATTAACGCCGAGCGCTCGAGTCCCAAGAGAGGTCACAATTGGCCCAGCTGAAATCTTGGCAATGTCGCTTGTGCAGCAGCATTGTCCGAAAAACTGCTCGGCTATCTAAATCAGTGTCAGGTGGTGTCCAAGAGCACAACCTCCATGGCCGCGTCAAATGTTTGGTTGGTGACAGTGAAGCCACATGAGGGCGATTGGTCTCTCATGCTGACAAGTACCGGATTCTGCTGTAGGAATCCACCTCAATACGGCTAGTAAGGCTACTCAGCCCAAGTGAGGAGCTACCGAAGACATGGGGCGTTGAGTCGCATCGAGCGGCGTAGAAATCAAGGTGACTGAGCGGCAATACGCCCATCGGATAGGCTGGCAAAGCGCGACAAGGGGTGGTTGGGGGTGGGTGGGTGGGGGGTGGGGGGGGGGCACGGTGACCGGATAGCAAAGACGGCAAAACAAGGATATAAAGCGAACAGCATTCGATCGACAGCGCTAGCCTTGTGGGTCCAGGCGGGGTATTACCTGAAAGATTGGTGGACACCTGCTCCCCAAAGAGGACAACCAGAAAACAAAAAAAGAAAAGGCGGAGAATCAGGGTGTCAGTGGAGACCACCACGAGCAAATCTCCTCTCAGACGACGTGCTCGTAAACAAGCAACAAGAGGTTGGTGCAGCCGAGCTTCACCCAGTCCACCAGTCAACTTCCGTATGTGTAGCACTGGAAGAAAACGCCAAGTTGGCGATGCCGACGGTATGCCAACGGCGATGCCAACTGCGTTGCCACTGTGACATTAATTGATGCCACACACAAGCAAATCCTAGTGACTGAAAATACAGCACGCTCCAGAATGAACAAGTAAGAAAAGCGCTTGTCGTGCAGTGGGTATTGTTTCCACACCATTTTCTTTGTGCGATGACGAATATCCCGTATCCATGAAAAAATTTGCATACATGCAAAAGTCAGTTTCAGTCGATGATATTTTGAAATTCATATGCCAGCCAAAAAGAATTCTGCAATAGTCAGCGCGACTCAGGCAACGACATCTGCCAATGCTTCTGGATCTCCCAACGTGGGGAAAACCTGGCGAGCACTCCCCCCCTCCTAGCAGACGTGTTAACTACACACGTGAGGAACACTCCATTCCGCTTTCCCGAAAGTCGATGTATTCATCTCGAACAGAAATGGATCGATGAAGATGGCCTTCAATATCATGGTTGGCTAGTTGTCTTTTTGCGGTGTCCACTAGGAAAAAAAAGGCCAAATAACACGTGTTCAAACGTGTACAAAGTTTACGGGTTTGTGTTATTGTTGTGTTCTTAGCGTGCAGAACTTTGATGAAATGTGTTTTATGTGTGCTCGCTAAGGTGTTATTTGGCCCTTTTTTCCTAGTGGTCGTCGGCGTCCGAGACATTTTGTTGCGAATCATCAACCGCAGTGTCGATTCTTTCGCTTCTAGACCGCCTGACCCCAATTCGGTCGCCGTCTGCGCAGCATCAAATCCTAAGCATACGTTTGTGGCGTTATTAAAGCGAACTCTTTCGTTTGCGTTTGGTATCTATTCAATAGCGTGGCAAGTATGCTATAGCAAGTAAACGGGCATCCATATTTACTTGCATAATTTCGCCCATTCAGAAAAATCGGTGACAAAAAGTGTTGCAAAGTGCTGAGCCTTGCACCACTTTTTCTCAAAACAGGTCCATTTGTGATGGACCAGGTTAATCAATTCGCACATTGCTGCAAGAGCGCTATCACCGAGAATTTGTCGCTCGCCGCCTCCTCGGCCACCTCTAGCACCTCACATCCGTCTCAGCTTAGCAAGAGGGGGACGACGTCGCTGAGCGAAAGGCTGTCATCCACTATGGCGAGTCCAGCTGCTAGCCCCCTGGCTCTCCAATACGCGTGAGCCTCAGAGTCAGCCTCAATGCCATGTGCAGATGGATATTCCTGCTCGAGCCTCAGTGCTATGTACAAATGGATACACACGCGCCCTGTATAAGGCCGCCGCCAACAAACATCCGCCACTGCGTGAGCATGGCCTGAGTGGGACGCGGGATCCAACCCACAGGTGGCCTTGGTGCTGCTGATGCGGCCAGACAAATCTGGATTTAACATGGGGCAACGTTGCCTATGTTTCGAGGTCTTTTCTCTTCCGAATTTGTGAGCAGGACATTCCCTATGTCATTGAAGCAAGTCTCTCGGTTGGGTCGCAACCAGAAAGTCAGTGGTCGCCGACCAGGTAACGAGGGAGTATTGTTCATGCCACCACGTCAACAAGGCATGTTGTGGAAGTGCCTATGTGCGTTTTGCGAAACGTTCTGCAAAACGCGGCTGATTGTCACGCTAACAGCAGAAATGCTAAATATTGTGTGGAAATACCAATGCGGAAAGTCTAAGTACAGCACGCGGAAATGCTCATAATTTCTGTTGGAGCCATGTGAAATTCATGCAAGACCGTGCCAAAGCGTGTGACAATCATATGCGCTCACTCAATCGTTAGTGCACGGTTTGGTCCCAATTTCATGCGATAATAAACAGGATTTAACGGGGGGTTTTAGACTACTTCAATCGTGTTACACTGTACACGTTTTCAAAACCGTGTATTTTGGACTGTTTCTTACTTGTGTGGTGTATCAGCCCCGCTGGTGTGATGTGACAGGTCGGCGCTGTCATCCCTGCAGTGACTGGAAAACTTTGCGCGCACTAACGTGGTCCAAGCCTTTTAATGCGATCGCAGGTTATAGCAAATGCGCACGTTGTGACCGAACGCCTCAGG